AAATAGAGTGTTTATTTTAAAGTTGTAATTAGTTTTTCAAAGCAATACTGTAGCGGGGAAGCAATGAGGCATTGGGAGATTAAGCAGGAGAACCAGCGAGTCTCACTGAGTTTGAGTCTGGGGATTGGCTTTGGGCCTTTGTCAAGTATTTTAAGGCCCTGCATCCTTCCATGGTTCTGATTAAAATCCAAGCTGAAGAAAAACTGCCAGTTCATCCACTCTCCTACCTAATTCCCTTTAAGCTACACTTGGAAGTGGGGGCAACATCAGTAGTGGGGTCAGTACCCTGACACAGGGTAGCTTGGGAAGGGCAGAACTCCTAAGGCGACTGGGGGCTAGGTAGCGTGCCAGTGCCCAGCACCAGCTGGGGGGCGGGGGAGAGAAAGGCAGGCTTCTTTCCTTCCTTTCCAGGGCAGCCGGACCCCTTCCATGGCTGCTGCCTTCGTCTGGCAGTACATGCTGTTAAAAGGAAAGCGGTGGGGGAACGGGAATGTAGAGAAGGTTTTAAAAAGTGGGGCGTGGGGGAGCCTGGAAAAGGTGGAAGATGGCTGGGCCCGGGGAAGGCTTCAGGGAGTGAAGGTGGCAGCTGAATTTGGATTCACTTTGGAATCCAATGTTTTGGCTGAGCTGTTTATGGAAGTCATCCAAATTCAATATTAGATAGGCTCTGAATACCATGTTACAACAATTTCAATTGCTGGCTGTTCCCCTTTCAGCCCGGTGATTAACATTAAAGAACTGTGTGAACATGAAAGAGGGAGGGGTAGAGGAGGTGAAATTTATTTCTTTACCCACCCCCCCTTGCCTGAACCGGCACTCTTTCCTTCCCTTGATGTGTGACTAACAGCTGTTTTTCTTTGTGGCAAACCAGTGGGATCTTCCTGTTGTTGATGTAATGGAGATGCTTCCTGGTGTGAAATTCTGCAGGATGGATTGCGCAAAGGGAGGGGAACTTCAACACACTTATCAAAGTGCTTTGGAAAAAGAAAAGCACTCTTCTATTCTGCTGGGACAGGCAACAGATCAAAACACACACAGAGTGGCTGACATTGGGTCAGAGTGACATGAATTAATGCTTTTTTTTTGGTGCTTTTTTCCAAATAAATAAGACTTTTTATGAGGGAAAATGATGCTTTTTGTTGCAAATGCAGTGGGATGACCCTCATTTAAGAAACATCTCTTTTTTCCACGCAGGATCTAATGGGTGTTTTTCATGTTTATCTGCAAGAGCTGTTATAGGACCAAGTCATCAATCCAATTGCGCCATTAATGCCATGGGTGCTCTACAGGCCCTGGAAAGGAAAGATTTCCCCTGGAGCATCAAGGGAAAAAAGGCATTCCACCAACTGTGCTGTGTGAACATGTGGAGAAAGGAGCACTCCAGCTCCAACCCAGATGTTGGGGGCATTGCAGCCCTGAACACAGGGAGGGTAACAGTCTGAATGGGAGAAACTTCTGCATTCATGAGCTTAGAATAGAGGCAAGGAAGGGGAGTCATGATAGAAGTGAGAAATATTATGCAGTGGGTCATGAAGGTAGATGGGGAGACATTTTGCTACATGAACCAGGTGAAACTGCTTGGTAGAAGAGCCAGGACAGAACAATAGGAGGACTCCGCAACCTACCTCAGCCTATATTAGTGACATGGAGCCAGAAGTTTGAATATGCATGTGTGTTTGGGTGAGCATATATGTATGCAATACTTATTAGCAATACTTTTCAGACCAGTTCAAAGTATCTCTGATCATTACTGGGTGGCTATAAGTTTGTTGCGGTGGTTGTCTGTTGTTTTTGTCTGCTTTATCTGCTTTTGTCCCCCTTTTCTGTATGTGTGTATTGTGGTTCTACTCTTGGTTTGAATTCTCAGTGTTTTTTCACTGGTTTGGTTTTGTTGCAAAATGGCAACAATCAAATGAAAACTATGAATGTTTAAAAAAGAGAAGGGTTTCCTCACACAATACATCACTAAACTATGGAATTCACTTCAACATGATGTAATAATAGCCACCAATTTGGATATCTTTAAAAGGGAATAATTGGACAAATTTAGGGAGGAGAAAGATATCAATGGCTACTTACAGTGGCCCCATGCCACCTTCAGGATCTGAGATTGTAAGCCTAAGAGCACCAGCTGCTGGGGAACATGGATGGGAGGGTACTGTTGCACACGCATCTTGCTTGCAAGTTCCTTGTTGGAAGCTTGCTGGGTACTGTGTGTCAAGGATGCTGAATCCATCCCTTGGTCCCATCCAACTCAGCTGTTATGCTATTAGTAATGGAGGGTCTCCACGCATTTAAGAACCTTGAGGTGTTCCAGTTAGCATGTTTATAGAACACAGTGCTGGGAGTGAGAAAGACAGTTGCTCTTGGAGTGCATCTGCAAGGCTGCCTGGCTGAACTTGAAAAGAGGAGCAGGAACAGGAGGGGGCCTTAGAATGTGGGCCAGTTCCAGATGTTGAGACGGGACAAGTGGGGATGCTATCTGAAGACCAGGCTCCTCAGGTGATCAGGTGGCCTCTGAGAATGACCAAATGTACACCTAGCAGCAGGAGGCTTGGAACACGGAGTTTCTCAGAGACAAACAAGGCATTGACATTGAGAGGAGAGTGGCTCAGTAAGAGGATCGCCATACAGAATGGAGGCAGGCTTGTTTTCAGAAGCTCCCTCCTGAAGGGATGGGGCCCAGGCATGCTCATAAGGAAAGTTCTTGGATGTGAATACTAGATTGGGTTCAAGAGGCCACTTTGTGAGCGCTCAAAGATTCATTCTGGGTGTTTGTGCTTGTGGGAAACATTGTGGTCAATAAAGAATGTTTTGCAAGAAAGGGCTATGGCTTTGAATGTGCAAAGGGAGGAACCTTCACTCTCGACGCACAGTAAGTAGAATGCCTGTGGAGAGCTCTCATTGATGCTGAAAAATATATTTGGAACCAAGGTAAAAGACCTTATGAAACAGAGGGCAGATCTGGCTTTTTGGGAGGTCTTTGGGTGATTTACAGTAAATTGGCAAGCATTTCTGGCTCCCAGCTGTGTAATACCATTTCCCCGAAAATAAAACCTAACCAGAAAATAAGCCCTAGCATGATTTTTCAGGATGCTCATAATATAAGCCCTACCCCAAAAATAAGCACCAGCTAAGATCGTCAGCCAGATGGATGGGGAAACACAGTAGAATGTCCATTGCAACACACGATAAACATATTGAATTACAAAATAATAATCTTAATATATAATTAAATATAAATAAATAATATTATTGACATTAATACAGTATACTCCCATGAAGTCATGGTTCAGTGTTCGCGGCCTCAGTCTTTCGTGGAATTTTCTGTGCGACGGCTTGCTCGCAAGGAGATCGTTTTCTCCGAGCAAGTCCAACCCAATCTCCTTGTGAGCCAAGGAGATCAGTTTGGACTTCCTCAGAGAAAACGATCTCTGTGCGCACCTGCCCCTGCCCCTGCCTCGCCATGCATGTGCGCCCGCCCCCCCAGCCCAGCCCGACCCGAGCCCCCCACCCGCACCGCCTTGGTGGCCGTCGTCCATTACCGGCACCAAATTCATGGTTGTTCACAATTCATGGGTGCTCTAGGAATGCAAACCCCATGAATTTCGGGGGACTACTGTACTTAAAATAAATGATAATATACTTCATAATTAAGTATTTGTAAATACCGAAGTGAGTGCCTTTGGACAAGAGGTAAACGCCTATGTAAACAGATGAACACGAGACTTATTGCTGAATGACCAATCAGAGTACAGACACAATGCATGAATAATGTCAATATGCCATGTATTGTAATGGACAGACTTAATGTATGGATGCAAAACACAAGATGGGTACAAAAAGAAAGAGCTATTCCATTGAGTACAAGAAAGGAATCATGGAGGACTCTGGGGGCAAGAATCTTACGGCTTTTGTAAGAAAAAATAAAGCATCACCTGAAATAAGCCCTAATGTGTCTTTTGGAGCAAAAATTAATATAAGACTCGGTCTGATTTTCAGGCAAACACAGTAATAGCAGGAGCAAGAGGATTCCCTCTGTCCCAAAGAAACCTTTAAATGACCAGGACCACATCATTGTGCAGAAGGAAGCGGTTATCACAGATAGCCGCATCCCACGTAGTTCCAGCTTTCTGTGGAGAAGCCATCAAGTGTGCAGTTGTCCTGAATTAGTTGACGGGGTGGACCTGAGATTTAACCTGGAGGATGAAACACAAGGCTTGAGTCACTAGACCCAGTCTAGAGACATGGGGGAGGACTGCCTCTGTGGAAATATGCAAGGAGAGGGGCTCCTTTAGCTTTGCCAGTACAGAATTTACTGTCATAACACGTGGTGATCACTACTAACTTAAATGGCTTGTTACAACCACCCGAAAATAGCAACACCATGAAAAACAGAAAGACTCAAAACTAGCAAACCAGCAAGCCGGCAAATCCAAAATACCCAAAGTGATGGCACGGAGAAAAGAAAGCAGCCCAATGGGAAAGGGGGTGGGGGCGGGGATAGCCAAAGGCCTTCTTAAACAGCCAGGTTTTGGCCAAACGTTTAGATCCATGGGAGGGCATTCCTCAGAGTGGGAGCTACTGCCGGAAAGGCCCAGCTCTTTGTTGCCACATGCGGGGAGGTAAGGATGGTCATGTGTCTTCCTTCACAATGAATAGGCCTCTGTTTACAGAGCAGTCATAGGACTACCCTTTACTTGAAGTGCTGTCCTGTCCAGTTGTGGGTTAAAGATATGGAGCCATGCTATTTATTGTGTTGTGGTGCTTATACAGAGCCAGGGTGGGGTAGTGGTTAAGAGAGTGGGACTGGGACTCAGGCAATCTGGGTTCGAGTCCACGCTCGGCCATGGAGCCAACTGGGTGACATTGGGCCAGTCACAGACTCTCAGCCCACCTGCCTCACAGGGTTGCGGTTGTGGGGATAAGATGGAGGAGGAGAATGATGTTAGCTGCCTTGAGCCCTTTGTAGGAAAAAGGCAGGATCTAAATCAGAAAATAAATAAATAAATAAACTATTAGAACCACTGTGATGCAGTGGTTGGTACTGGGCTGGGACTTGGGAAATCCAGGTTCTAGTACCGTGTGGGCCTTGAAGCATACTAGGTGACTTAGTGCTGATTACGGACTCTCACCCAAGCTTCTTCACAGGGTTGTTGTGAGATGAAATGGAGAGGAGAAGGAGCTGCCTCAGATTCCTTGCTGGAGAAGCAAAAGGGAAAATGTAAATGTCAGAATCATAAGATAATGCAGCCCTTCCATAGTTAGCATACCCTTCAGTCTTTCAAAGTGTTGTCCTTCAGTACTTAGCAGTGGAACAGCAGACACCTGGTTGCCGTTTTTCCTGCTATGGTGAGCATTTCTATTTAAATTATAATAATTGCTTCTACATCTGCATCTGTACATGTAAATTAGTATAGGCAATGTTGTGAAAATTTGTGTCCTTTTATTTTGGAAGCAGTTGGAAGACAGTGGAAAACACGGAAGATACAAGAGTGGAGGAGAAGACCATGATAACTTCCCGTCATGGTGATTATTTGCTGCCTTCAGGATCAGCGGCTCTGTGCCTCTCTGTTGCTCTACCACCTGAGTATCAGTCACTGGGGATCAACAGTGGGAGAGGCTGCTCACTTTGTGTCCTGCCCAGGAGCATCTGGTCGGCCACAGTAGCAAACGGGGTGCCAGACTAGCAGCCTTTGGTGTGATCCAGTGGACCTCTTGCCACGTTCCTACACTAGCCGCCTTAGTTGACTTCCCTAACCTTTCCCAGAGTTGTGTTTCTATGACTCAAGAATCCACAACAATAGTACACCTAAGGTCTGACTGGCATGAGATTCTGATTGAACTTGCAAACACAGAGCTGGCTGCTGGGGGACGGAAAGCTGTAGCAGGCTTCTCAAGACCAAGGGAAGCCAAAAGCTGGTGGAGAGTTCGGGCAGAGATTCCTATTCAAGAAGGACTTGTATTTTTAGAAGCAGGGAGTCCTTTCTGTTTTTCTGTCCTCCTTGGCAGTATTAGTTAATTAAACTATGCAAATTAAAGCATCTTAATTTATATAATATCAATACTGCAGCCTTAAACCGTTTGGCATCCATTCTCTGGCAAGTACATTACATAAAATGTTTGGAACGGCTCTCATAAAAATGGAAAAAAGGGAGGAAAAAAGAAAAAGTCTGTAAATCATGTTTAATTTATTCATTTTCTGTTTCATATGAAAGCATGCCAAAATCAGATTATTTATGAGCCCTTCATAACAATAGGCGTTTTTATGGATTGCAAATGACAAAGTGTGTGGGGGGCTGGTTGTTGTCATTTCTCCCTCTTTTGCATTTTTGAATGTCTTTTCAGAAACATGTATTTTTTGGGAGGGGGAACACCACCTAATTTCAAAGAAAATATTTAATCATTGCTATAGTCAAAACAATTTATATTTAAAATTGTGAAAAACATATGTGATTGTAGAACAGGCTGAGGGTATTCAGTTCTAAACTGCAGGACTCTTGAAGTTTGATCTAGGCCTACTCAAGCTGTGACACCCATAAGAAGAGGTATCGGGCATGAAGTAGAACAAAGCCCGATTCCCCCAAGCCTCTAGGTCCTTGTGCACGCAGAAGGCCCACATGAGCCCCTTTCTGTATATCCCTGCCTGGCTGTCCCTCTCTGCTTGCACCAGGAACATGGGCTCCCAAGGAAGGGGTGACTGCTGGCTGGAGAAGGTGTCGTGCTCAAGTTAACGGACAGTGGGAGCTTCAAATGCCCGTTGGGCAATTTATCGACTCTGGGCTGCAGCCTGAATGTAAAGGAGCTATCCGTGGTGCTCAGCCCCAGCCCCAAAATGGGTCAGGACCATGGACAGTGCTGTAAATTTCAGACCACAGGCCGGAGTGGATGCACTGCCCGCTGACACTGGAAACCCCAGCCTTCACGGAGCACATGGATGGCAACCTTCTGTTTGCAACTGTTTTACAAAGGGGGTAAGGGTTGGGGGAAGAGTTGATCTAGCTCCCCGCAAGGCACCTTTGGTAAGAGGAAGTCATTCCTTAACCTCTCATAATTTTCAAATAGCGTCTTGCTCTCTGTAATGGTACACCTGCTACCTGCATACAGACCTGGGATGAGTACTCTGGGCATGGAGAAGAGCAGAAACCCGTCCCTTGCTTTGGCTTGCTCCCTGTCCCATCCTTCCCCCTTGTGTTCTTCTCTTGATTGAGTGTTCCTTGGAGTAGAAGCTCACGATTTACCTCTATATTCTATTCGGAATAGCATTGGCCTTAGCAGAACTTACACTCTAGTAAATATCCACTTTTCGAAGTCCTATAAAGCGGATGGCGCAACAGCTTCAGTGTCACAAAGGCAGACAGTGACTCAAAGCATGTGGAGCAGGATGTGACCCAAGCTCCTCGGACCTTCTGCAGTGGATGCACCTCTGCAGTCAGTTATGCACTAGAGGGTGCATGCATCCAACACGTCACGGATTCAGGGATGCAGGATGACATGACAGGCAACTCTTCCTCCTCGCTCATGGTGATCTACTCTGACTGGCAGAGGCTGCCTATCAAAGGCTTAATCAGGAAACAAATTGAAAAAAGAACTACCAGGATTTTATTCCATTTATATAAATCTTTGGTGTGGCTGCACTTGGAATACTGTGTACAGTTCTGGCCATTGCATCTGAAAAAGGGCATGATAGAGTTGGAAAAAACTGGAGCAGGGCAACTCAAATGATCAGAGGGTTGGAGCAACTCCCCTGTGAGGAACAGTTACAAGAGCTGATCTTGTTCAGCTTAGAAAAAGGGTGAGTAAGGAGAGACATGGCAGAGGTGTGCAGAGACAATGAGGGAGACATCCCTCTGCCCTAATGCTCGAACCCAAAGGGCTCACCCCATGAAGCTGACTGGGGGGAGCTTCAGGACAGATCAAGGGAAGGGCTTCCTTGTATGGTGCATAGTTAGTTGTTAGTTGGGGAACTTAGGCAGGAAGGAGCTGCCGGATTCTGTGGCAGCTGGTTTGTCACTGTGTGAATGGAATGCTGGACCATCACTTTGATGCAGTGGGGCTTCTCATGCATCCTCAGGCCTCAGGCAGGGAAGGTTCTTCCCAAGTCACCTGCTCTCTGCTCCATAACCAAGGAACTGGAGATACCGGGGCGTCCTGCACACAGATGTTGCCCTTCAGGCATGGCACCTCCCATTCACTTAACCGATGCTCCTGCCCCATTCAGGGTCACTGCACATGACTAAATAATGGTGAGGGGAAGTTCTAATGCATGCATTTCTGGGTGTGGCTATACCATCTCTTAGTTCTCGCTTTTAGCAGAGGTGAGGTGACAATGCTGCTCACTTTTCTAATTATTTCATGTTATCCCATGAAGGCCCTCCCCTTTTACCTTCACAACAACCCCATGAAGTAGGCCAGGCTTAGTGGCAGGCTGAAGGTCACCGCTGCTTTGCAGCTGAGCAGGGATGTGAACTCAGCCCCTCCCAGTCCGGCCACGGTCCCTTCCTCCCATTCCTTCCTCATACTCGGAAGGGCTCGGAATGGGGGCAGCCGGCCTCTCCTCCCAGTAGGAAAGGTGGCTGGGCAAAACAAGGCAATTGACAGCAGCATCCCAACCAGCACCATGTGCAAAACTGCAGAACAATCGCACAGGCTGGGCCCATCCCCCCATTTAAAAAATGTCACATCTTTCAAGCCATCTTTTGTTTATTATCCTAGTGCAGATGGAGCCAGAAGCTAGAACGGCATCAAATGTTTTCTGTAATGAGAAAAGGCCAATGGTTTGGCAGCAATCTGAACAGGCAGGGGAGTTTGGAGAGTTATTGTGGAGTTATTGAGGCCTTACACAAATATCAGCTAATGGCCTATCTGAATGGGGTATTTGTAAGCTTCTCCAAGAGGTTGCCTCTCATTATTGAGGTTTGGTCACCACAGATAGCTGGTAGGACAGCCCCACTTTGGGAAATGTTCTCGAGCTGGCCTCTTGGAATTTCCTACTGCTTGTGGGCAGAGAAACTGCTGAGAGCGTTGCGGCATTTTTCTGCCCAGGAGGAGAAATTCCCCGCAGGACTCACCTTTGGCAGGGATGTACCACTGCATGCTCGCTTGTTTGTTTGCCTGTGTATTCATTTTTTATTTATAGAATTATTTTGTTATATATTCACTAATTTACACTTCACATTGTTATTCGTAATGCTGCTGCAAGTAGGAACAGACTTCATGGGGATTTTTGTCGCTCCTGTTTTGTATGCTCCACGTAGCAGATGTTTTGGAGTAGCTGGTCAGGATCGTGTTTAGATCCAGGGAAGAGATGCAGATACCTTTGTGGTCACACCAAAGATTGGTATTTTGCCAAAATCCGGCCTTCCGTTACCTGGAAGTTTTCTTCCCCTGGGAAAGATGCTTCCATTGTAATGCCTCCTCATCAAGGTGTTTTACCATTTAGTCTTTGTGGTGTTTTCAATGTATCTAAGGTAGTTGAGGAAACTGACTGTGTGTTTTCTTTCTATTGCACATTTCTCCATGGCACTATAGCCTCCCAGGCTGCCTGCAGTTCCCGATCTGAAAAAGGCACTGTGGGAGGAAATTGTTTCATGATGTTTTCCACTGGGCTTTAGCTGAAATTTGGAAGAAAGGACCGTCTCACTCCTTGGGTAGTGAGCACTGATGAGCACAAGAGCCCCGAACCCAACTCACGAGAATTCCTTGAACATTTTCTTCTTCTCTGAATTTCTTTTCAAAAGCAATTTCTTTTCAGTCAAATTGATTGAGAATGGTTGAATTAAGTGGGATAAGTTTTTGGCCCTGCACAAAAATGTTTTTCAGTGGTCATGCCACCACTTGCTCTGTGTCACGGGGACGTCATCTTTCCAACAGTTGCAGCTGTTGAGTAGCGTGATCTTGTGTCCTACTTTACATGAGTTACTTTTCTATTGGAAAGCATCCTTTACTGGAAGGGCTGCCCGGTCTGTAACTAAAGAGCCCTAAGGAAAGGGACCATGTTTTGAATGAAGAAAGTCCCAGATTCACCTTCTGGCATCTCTTGCTTGAAGGGGGCCAGGTAGTGGCTGCCCGGTAAGAGCTCTGATTTGACTCAGGATTGTTGCCACTCAGAGTGGATGGTATTGGATGTACTAGATAGACTAATAGACTGAATGTACACAACACAGTCACCCCCACTCAAAGGTTGGGAATGGGTTGAGTGTCAGTTGTAGCTGAACTGTGAGCTGTTGTTGAAATGTGGATTATTATATTGCTTGAACCCAGCCATACTAACAAGCCATGGCTTGTTAACCATGAACAACCCATTAAAATAACCCATGGTTAGTTGTTGGGTTATGAACTGTGGGTTGTTCACCATGTTCTATTATCTTGGCTGTGTTCAGACCACTATGATAAGCCACATCTCAACCCATGTTCCAACAACAACCTGCACTTTAACTCTATTGAACCCATGAGTGCGGGGTAGTGTGTTGTGGGTGTAAAAGAAGATGGGAGCCTGCTAACTGAGCGAGTGTAGGAGACTTTCTGTTTTCTTTACAGAGCATTCTCTATCCTTCCTTTTCCCCCCACTCCCCCAGCCCAGCTCAATGATCTGAAAAATCCTCGAGGACAGAGAGTGGGCCAGCTTTGCCTGCATGATTGAAGGAGATGGTGCTGTTATCCTGAGGACCTCAATGGCTCCATCTGTATAATCCCTTTACCATGATAATACATATTCCTCTTCAAAAGCAATTTCTGAATCATGCAGGGGAGGTTTTTTCTTGCTTGAGCCATGGGTCAGGGGGCAGAGGGGCACTCTCCTGAGAGGAAAATGGTCCCTTTCCTAAGCCATCTGGGCCAACCCAGGGAAGAACCTTACCTCTCTTTCTGGCAACATTAGTATGCTGGATCTGTCAGTCATGGAGAGCTTTCGGTAAAAGGAGCTCCTTGTCAGCCTGCTTGCCTTTGATGTGACTGAGATGGAGGCACTCAATTAAAAGCCTATCAGTCTGTAAGTAAATCAACGCCTATCAGGCTTGTCACATCAAACAAATGATTATTACACTAACCCGCCCACCCCATTTAT